TGACTATTTTTCTTAGAATTTTGAGGATATATCTTACAATTTTGAATTTTTCCCCCTAGAATTCTGAGTTTATATTTCGTAATTCTTTTTCTTTGAATTCTGAGTTTATATCTAACAAGTTTGACTATTTTTCTTAGAATTCTGAGTTTATATCTTGTAATTCTTTTTCTTTGAATTCTGAGTTTATATCTTCCAATTTTGACTTTTATATATGACTTTTATAATTTATATCTCGCAATTCTTTTTCTTTGAATTTTGAGTTTATATGTTACAATTTTTACTTTTTTCCCGAGAATTCTGAGTTTATATCTCGTAATTCTTTTTCTTTGAATTCTGAGTTTATTTCTTACAATTTTTACTTTTATATATGACTTTTATAATTTATATCTCGCAATTCTTTTTCTTTGAATTCCGAGTTTATATTTTACAATTTTGACTTTTCCCCTAGAATTCTCAGATTATATATATCGTAATTCTTTTTCTTTGAATTCTGAAATTATATCTTACAATTTTGACTTTTATATATGACTTTTATAATTTATATCTCGCAATTCTTTTTCTTTGAATTCCGAGTTTATATCTTACAATTTTGACTTTTTCCCCTAGAATTATGAGTTTATATTTCGTAATTCTTGTTCTTTGAATTCTGAAATTATATCTTACAATTTTGACTTTCACATATGACTTTTATAATTTATATCTCGCAGTTCTTGTTCTTTGAATTCTGAGTTTATATCTTCCAATTTTGACTTTTATATATGACTTTTATAATTTATATCTCGCAATTCTTTTTCTTTGAATTCTGAGTTTGTATCTTACAATTTTGACTTTTATATATGACTTTTATCATTTATATCTCGCAATTCTTTTTCTTTGAATTCCGAGTTTATATTTTACAATTTTGACTTTTCCCCTAGAATTCTCAGATTATATATATCGTAATTCTTTTTCTTTGAATTCTGAGTTTATATCTTACAATTTTGACTATTTTTCTTAGAATTCTGAGTTTATATCTTGTAATTCTTTTTCTTTGAATTCTGAGTTTATATCTTACAATTTTGACTATTTTTCTTAGAATTCTGAGTTTATATCTTGTAATTCTTTTTCTTTGAATTCTGAGTTTATATCTTACAATTTTGACTATTTTTCTTAGAATTCTGAGTTTATATCTTGTAATTCTTTTTCTTTGAATTCTGAGTTTATATCTTACAATTTTGACTATTTTTCTTAGAATTCTGAGTTTATATCTTGTAATTCTTTTTCTTTGAATTCTGAGTTTATATCCTACAATTTTGACTATTTTTCTTAGAATTCTGAGTTTATATTTCGTAATTCTTTTTCTTTGAATCCTGAGTTTATATCTTACAATTTTGACTTTTCCCCCTAGAATTCTGAGTTTATATCTCACAATTCTTTTTCTTTGAATTCTGAGTTTATATCTCACAATTCTGTTTTTTTCCCCCTCAAATTCTGACATATGAACCTAGAATTGTGAGATATAAACTCGCAATTCTAAAAAGAAAAGTCAGCATTGTGAGAAAAAAAACTTGCACTATGCAAGGAAAAAAGTAAGAATTGTAAGATAAAAAGTCAAAATGACCCTTTTTTATTTTTTATTCTATAGCAGAAACAAAACAGAACTGTGAGATGTAAACTCAGAATTCAGAAGAAAATTTGAATTTTTTCCCCTAGAATTCTGAGTTTATATTTCATAATTCTTTTTCTTTGAATTATGAAATTATATCTTACAATTTTGACTTTTTCCCCTAGAATTCTGAGTTTATATATATCGTAATTCTTTTTCTTTGAATTCTGAAATTATATCTTACAACTTTGACTTTTATATATGACTTTTATAATTTATATCTCGCAATTCTTTTTCTTTGAATTCCGAGTTTATATCTTACAATTTTGACTTTTTCCCCTAGAATTCTCAGATTATATATATCGTAATTCTTTTTCTTTGAATTCTGAAATTATATCTTACAATTTTGACTATTTTTCTTAGAATTCTGAGTTTATATCTTGTAATTCTTTTTCTTTGAATTCTGAAATTATATCTTACAATTTTGACTATTTTTCTTAGAATTCTGAGTTTATATCTTGTAATTCTTTTTCTTTGAATTCTGAGTTTATCTTACAATTTTGAGTTTATATCTTACAATTTTGACTATTTTTCTTAGAATTCTGAGTTTATATCTTGTAATTCTTTTTCTTTGAATTCTGAGTTTATCTTACAATTTTGAGTTTATATCTTACAATTTTGACTATTTTTCTTAGAATTCCGAGTTTATATCTTGTAATTCTTTTTCTTTGAATTCTGAGTTTACATCTTACAATTTTGACTTTTTCTTAGAATTTTGAGGATATATCTTGCAATTCAGCTACGGAATAGAAAAAGTAATTATGACTTTTTATCTCGCAAAACTGACATTTCTCTCAGAATTGCATGATATAAATTTTAAGAAGAAAAGTTCAAATTGTGAGACATAAACTAACAACTGCTTGAAAAAAAAGTCAGAAGTGTGAGATAAAATGCTGCAATTACTTTTTTCCCATGGCGAAAACAAGCTTCCATACTGCTAAAAAACAGCATGAACAAGTCTTTTAATCCCCTGGTTTAATCTCTTTCAGTTCCTAACTTGAACACTGGCATTACACTCCTTTATTCCTGGCTGACGTACCTCCCCTCTCCGTCCCTGCAGTTGGGGCAGGAGCAGGCCACTCTGCGCAGCCTCTTGCCGGGCTGACCCTCCTGCTCCGATGGGCTCTGGACCTGCCCCATCTGCTCTGGACTCGTGCTGCTGATGTTGCCAACGGTCACCGTCACCGGGGCGGACTGAACTTTGACCCCCTCTTGACCCTGCTGCTGACCTGTGGGATTTCACAAACAGCACAGTTGATTAAATCACTCTTAAAACAGCCCTTATTTTCCATAAGAAAGCCTAGTCACCGGTGAATCCAGACATGCAAAGTCCAATAACAAAGAGCCTGAAATCTGACACCTTACCAAGCATTTGGAAACAACATTCGACTCATAAAATATAAATGCCTTAATTTGCCGTTTTACTTCATGAGTAATAAAGAGTCTATGGAAAAACCCACAATTGCATTTCATGTTACAGTGTCTGAGAAAACAGTGTCATTTTCAAATTAAACATCAAAGAGTTTTAATAAAGAAACACAGCAGCCACATTTTACATTTTGGATATATGTGGTTACAAATACTGTGATAATTATTGCAACATCTATTAATAAGTTATGCCAGATCAAACTTCTCCTCAAAAACAAAGGGGAAAAAAAAGATATTATAATTTTCCAGATTAAATGGTGCCTAATTTTAGAACCATTAAAATGTTATGCTCTATAACATTATTTTCCTGACAATTAAGCACATTTCCAACACCCACATTTTGATTACTGTAATAAATAAATAAATAACAGTGATATTTTAGTATCACTGAGATACTATTACAGTTTTTATTATTCAGCATTAATTTTTATTTTTAAATTTTCTGTTTTCATTTTAATTTGAGCTAGTTTTAGTAATTTTGAGTTTTTGTCCTTTTTATTCGTTTTTTTTTAAATGTCTATATAATTTTTTAGTAATTTTTATTTCTATTTTAGTTATTTTAGTTAAATTAAACAATGAAAGTACGATTTTTTGTTTTATTTTAATTTTAGCTCGTTTTAGTAATTTTGAGTTTTTGTCCTTTTTATTAGTTTTTTTTAAAATGTCTATATACTTTTTATTAATTTTTATTTCTGTTTTAGTTATTTTAGTTAAATTAAACTAAATTAAAGTACGATTTTTTGTTTTATTTTAATTTTATCTCGTTTTAGTAATTGAGTTTTTGTCCTTTTTATTAGTTTTTGTAAATATGTCTATTTTTTTTTATACATTTTTATTTCTGTTTTAGTTATTTTAGTTAAGTTAAACTAAATGAAAGTAAGATTTTTTGTTTTATTTAAATTTTAGCTCGTTTTAGTAATTTTGAGTTTTTGTCCTTTTTATTAGTTTTTTTTTTAAATGTCTATATACTTTTTATTTCTGTTTTAGTTATTTTAGTTAAGAAACTAAATGAAAGTAAGAAATGTTGCTCAAATAAAGTTGAATGTTTTTTTATATTTTATTTTATTTCAGTTAAAGTTTATTTCAATGACATAATTTTTCAAAATAAATAAATAAATACATTGCATACCAGTCTTATTTTAGTATCGTTGAGATACTGCTATAGTTTTTATTAATATTTTGAATTAGTTTTTATTTTTATACTTTCATACTTGCTGTTTTCATTTTAATTTTAGTTCGTTTTTGTAATTTTGTTTGTGTTTTTATTATTTGTTTTTATTTTAAATATGCCTATATAGATTTATTAATTTTATTTCAGTTTTGGTTTTAGTTATTTTAATACATGAAATTATACTAAAATAAACTGAGAAATGTTGCATTGGCAACTACCTGAAATAATTTTTTCAAATATTTTATTTTATTTCAGTTAAAGCTAATTTTATTTCAAGTAACAAAGGTTTTTTTATGGTTTTAGTTTTAACTATAATAAACCTGCCTCATAGTCACTACTGTAATGTAAATTTTTTTTAAAATATTTTTGTATTTATTATTTATTTTTAAAATATTTGTTTATTTTTTATTAACCATTCAATTAATTACATTTTAAATTGTATAGTGTTTCTACATCGTGGTAGTATTTTCTGTACTGTTTTTTTCTGTATATACACAGATGTAAATAAAAGGATCACTTTATTACAGAAAGTTTTAATGAACTTCTTTCATTCATTTAATGAGAATCACCATTAAGACTCAAAAATGTTAATAGTTTTATACACAGGCTTCATTTTCTTGCACAAAATGATTTTGGGGTGAACATGAACATGTTTTTTCATGAGACTCACCAACTCAGTCCAAACGTTTAAATGAATTCAACTGAGAACTGTGCATTAATTCCAAATAAATCGCTAAATTATTCATGAAGATAACCGGCCTCTATGGACCTTTTTCACGTTTCCGGGTTTCTCAGCAGCGGAAGTCGTCATAGTTGGGTTAACTTCAAGAGCAGTGAACAAATAAATGCACAGCACAGCCATTTGCACTCTGCATCGAAAACATATATATGAACGCGCTGTTGCACCTCTAATAACTTTAGGCTTATTCTGCGGCATTTTATAAGCCTTTTGACGGGTTGTGTCACAGAGATGTAAAAACGGTTACACTCACTAAGTGAATGAATCGCGTTTGTGCCGAACTCTTATTACAAAGCAAAAACAAACACTCTCCTTCCTTCGATCCATGAACGTTTCTCTCGGTTAATGTACGCGGTCTCACAGTCTGAAGCGTCTGTCATAGCAAATCAACACATGCTGTTGTGAATAATTAAGCAAAGCGTCTTCTCATAGGATCAGAACACGCTGTCTCATGAATAATTTAATAGACACCGACGCGTCATCGATGTAATATAGTTCTTTCCCACGTCACAAATTGTGACGTCAACACGATGTAGATTTTAAACCCGGAAGATGAAATGGAGCAAAAAAGCTGCAGTCCGTAACTTTTGGCGCTCTAGCGGTTAATAAACAGAACTGCGTGTGTCTTGCGGAAGAACACTGTAGCCGGAGCTACTTCTCTGTTTATGTCTATGACGAATCATGCAGGTACTGGGCTACTCCGCTAGGGCTGCACGATAAATCGAAATGAAATCGAAATCGCGATTAGGCCGAAGCTGCGATTGTCATGCGTATCTTTCAGTGAAGCACGGTTCTGTGATCAGCAGTAAATCTCCATCCGAAGTAGGGCTGGGACAATAAATCAATGCATCGCAAATCGAGAAATGATTCTGCGATTTTCCGAAGGCATCGCGATTCTCTCTTGAATCGATTCTGAGCTTAGTTTTTAACAGCAGATGGCACTGCGTGCTGTAGAAATAGCCGTATTCTGCTTGCTTCCAGTTCCTTACACACGCACCACTTGAACCTAAATCAGCCGACCGCACAAGCGCTCTTCTTCGTGAGCATTTGAGTGTGCGTTTAAAAACTAGCCTAGAGCGCCATCTGCTGTTAAAAACTAAGCTCAGAATCGATTCCAGAGGGAATCACGATGCATTCCGAAAATCTTGATTGCATCGAATGCATCGATTTATTGTCCGAGCCCTAATCCGAAAGCCAGAGAAACTCCAAATACGCCCCGAAGAAGAAACCCAGGAAATCCCTATAGCGGTAGCTGAATAAACAGAAGATTTAAATGCTTTCATTGATTCACCGTGACTAATAAACACACAACTACGGCAATATATAGTTTATCTGAGTTCTTATCATTAAAATTTTCATTATAATAAAGTATGCAATGCTAATCGCCTTTATAGTTGCTCAGAATACTATGAAATCTGTTGCGTGCCTTATTCGGTGTAAGAAGCCACATCATCTCACAGAAGGAATTATTTCAAACACTCGGCTGACGTTATGAAGTGAGTAAAAACATGTTATTAAATGTGGTATTTTCACGTGCTTTCAGATGGAGCAGCATTTACTATTTACTAGTTCACTGAGAAGCTACGCAAACAGCTTTCATCATCGCGAACGATTTCTTCGATTTCATAATCGTACGATTATATCGTCTGCGATTTTTTTGCGTAGCTTGTCAGTGAACTATGGCTGTGTGTAGTAAATGCTGCTCCATCTGAAAGCAGGTGATGGAGATTTACTACTGCAGTGTTTCCCACAGACTTGCACTCTGTTTGTGGAGGCATATATATGCAAACTCATTCTCTGCCAGCAGGAGGCGCTGTTGAAGTGGTAGAGATCGAGGTTTTCCCGTTAACGGCTGTACACAAAGCAGCGCTCCGCTCACAAACGCTGCTTTATCAGACATTACATGCAAGATGAAATGAAAATGACATCCAAAATTTTCTGAAGACAGTCGGTTTCCTTCAGAAATACAGTGATATTAAAACACCCGCACCGGGTTTCGATTTTGAAACGTGCAGTGCTCATGTTTATGCAACGAAGTCAAAGCCTTTTGGAAAATCTATTTGTGGCGGTCAGTTTTGATATTGTGCGCCACAAATAAATCAATGTATGGGAAACACTGTACTGTTTACAGAAATGGCTTTACTGACAAGATGCGCATGACAATCGCATTCGTTTAATCGTGCAGCCCTATACTCTGCAGCGGTACCTACCCGAACCAGTCTAAAATAGTCAGAATATAAACACTTATTATAGGTGTACCATAGTGATTCAGGACAAGCCAAAGACACTGTTTGGAAAATGGATTCATGGTGTACTTGCTTATTATATAAATTTTGGAAATTTTGAACACAAAACAAATTACGGACTGCAGCAGTTTTCTCCAACAATTAAAATGAACGAATGCTAGCATGGCCTTCTATGATGTGCAACACAAATACCTCTGCTAAAATCTCTGAAAAAGTAGTCTGGGGTTTCATGACCCTTTAACACTGATTACGACGCGTGTCACTCTGTCTCTATACTGAGTTCAACAGGTGTCACATGACAGGTGGGAGGGGCTTACCTTGAATGCCGGTGATGGTGAGCGGAACGCCTTGCACCTGCACTCCAGCCGCCCCCAGCCCCGCGATGTTCACCGTCTGCACCCCAGTCCCAGAGGGCAGCTGGGCGGCACTGAGCGTGATGGGCGACCCACCGAGGGTCAGCGGGGCGATCTGCGTGAACGTCCCCCCGCTCGAGCTGGACGCCACGGGCGCAAGCGTCAGCTGCTGTGGCAGGCCGGCGTTCTGCACCTGCACCATCTGCCAGCTGATCTGACCCGACGGGGTGAGCGTGGGCGTCCGGATCAGAACCTGTGTGGGGTTCTGGAAGGCCTGCAGCTGGAGGTTCTGCTGCACCGGTTGCAAAGTCTGTATGGAGCCCTGGACTACTTGCTGTTGGGGCGACTGGATCTGGATCTGCTGGAGAACCGGATGCCCTACGATTTGGAACTGCTGGATTTGGCCGGACTGCTCGGATGCAGATTGGAGGCCGTTGGATTGGGCGAGATTCTGGGCGTCCGACTCGCCCGCTTGACTGTCTTTCTGGCTTTCAGCTCCGGTAGATAACGTCGTAGCATCTGCTACCGCGTCGCTGGCCGTCGCGCACGTGGATTCCGTTGTGCTCACTTGGTTTCCATTTGAAATGCTTCCATCGCCTGATTGGACGATTTGAATTGAAGCTCCGCCCCCTGTTGCCGCTGCAACGTTATTGATAACCGGCAATGCCAAAGTCATGCCGCCAAGGTTAATGGGTAGCGTCGTCATCATAGGCGCTTGCGTACCTTGAATAGTAGTAGTATATTTTTATTTAATGCCATCTCAGCATCTTAGGCTATTTTCATGGCAAAAACATTAAAAAATATACAAGTATAAAGCCCTGTTCACACCAAGAATGATAACTATAAAGATATCTATAATAGGGATGTCACGAGAACCGATACCAAGTTGGTATAAACATTTTAAAATCCTGCCGATACTTGTTTTTTTTTAGTAGCGTAAGTACCGATGGTACATGGTACTGGTATTCTAATTCTATTCTTAAAAAAAAATAAAATAAAACTTGCCCCTTTTAGACTTGCACTCTATTCATTTACTAACTGCTTGTTTTCTTTAAAAAAAACTAACATTAGCTTCTCTATTCTTTTTGTATTCTATCTATTTGTTTTCTTTTATTTATTATACAATTAACAAAAAGCAAAAAAGGCCTCTAACACTAGCTTGCTCTATTCTTTTTATATTCTATCCGTTTTCTTTTTATTTATTATATAATAAAAAAAAAACCCTTGCTACATGTACTGCATTAGGCTAACTGAGACTTGTTATAGCACTTGCGTATCATTGCTCTTTTGTTGATTTTGATTGCTTCCATTGTCATCATTTGTATGTCGCTTTGGATAAAAGCGTCTGCTAAATGACTAATGGCTCGTTTCCACCGAGCGGTACGGTTCAGTACAGTATGGTACGGTACACAATTATGTCCGTTTCCATTGTCAGAAGTTGTGAATGGTACCAAAATAGCGAACAGTACGTTTCACTTTTTTGGTACCCTTCCGTTGGGGTACCTAGCACAGCAAAGGGTACCAAAAGGGTGGAGCTAAACTCACTGCAGAACGTTGATTGGTTGACTAGAATCGTCCTTTTGCGTGATACAAGGGGATAACGCTTCTCCTTCACTCCATGAGTGTTGGTCTTATTTACATACGAGTGCGCAAACTAGGGTTGTAAAGATATACCGTTATGATGGTTTATCACGGTTTGAACGTGCAAGGTTATCATACCGTAAACATTTGCATATCTACGGTTTAAAAAAAATTAATGAAAAAAAAAAAAATCTCACCCGCACATATGCAACTTATTTCCGCTCGGCCGCTTCACTCTGCATTCACTTGGCTGCTTACACGCACTTACAGTGGAGAAAATGACAGGGACAGATATTATATCTAATCTCCATCCCTGGCGAAAAAAAGTTACAAATCCGCAGTATGGGCATACTTTGGATATAAATAAACGAATGCGGGGTTGTCTTTGAGGACGGATCCAATTTGCAAAAAATGTGGACGCAAAGTGGCTGCAAAAGCAGGCAATACATCCAAAATGTTCGCTCATATTCATGGACACCATCCCTCCGTGCAGATAAAGGTGTATCGCATTTATAACAAGTTATAAATTAAGGCTGTATGATTTCCGTGATGCAGAGGGAATCCCGGTGCAGTTGTGAACATGGAATTTACAGTATAATGAGGATGTCACTTAAAACGCGCAATCTGATGGATAAATCAAAAATAGATATATGTGTCTGTGAATATTAAAGTGCAAAGAGACTGCTATATAAATAATCTGCTTGTTTCTGCATGTCTCTGAGTGACGCCGTTTTATCTACTACACACTAGGGGTTGCACAGCCTAATCGACTAATCGACTAGTCGACTTCAATGCTCTGCTATGACGCTTTAAGCTTGACGTCGACTAGTCGCTGGTCCTATAGAGGGCGCAACAGGATAAGAAATCTTTGAAGGAATTCCACATTTACACTCCGTTTCCAAACAGTCCAAATGACAAATAAATGCATATTCTGAAAGTGCTCCACAAGACATGTGTGATTATATTACTGGATGCTCGAAATTGAACAGAAGAATGCACGTTTTAAACAGCTTATTGTACAGGTAAGTTAATCGCCGTTCTAATCTAATGCGCTGCTGCACTGTAACGCACACACATTACAGACAGTAGCGCGTACATCACGCGCACAGAATCATTCAGCGCGGAAATGTATTGTCAGCACTGTTCTGTGATTTCTCAATAAAATAGCTTAGAAACTGAAAAGTTCAAGCATATATTTCTTAATAACTAAATCCCACAGCTTCACTATTAGTAGAGAGATGCTGCCAGGTAGAATTAATTCACACACGCAATCGCTCTCACTAATGCATTCATATGAATGTAATCTTTACTGTGCTGCTTTATCTGTATCTTATTTAGAATGAGCAGAAATCTGTGAGAAATATAACGACCCAAAGACAAAAGAACTGCTAAAAATGAGCTGTTATAGGAGCAATAGCCATGTGGGCAGCGCTGTGTCATATGCCATAGCTGTGCACAAGGTGTTTGTGACAGCTCCAGTCTTATTTGTTCTTTAATAACGTCATCAGCGACTAGTCGACTTCGACTCGACTTTCATCACATAAAAGTCGACTTCAAAAAATCAGAAGTCTTTCAACCCCTACTACACACTGAAGTACACATGACGCTAATGGGGTTTTCAGTGTCTACATAAACATGAACGTCACCAGAGCTGCTCTGAGAGAAAACTGAAATAAACATATCCTAGTTTTATTTGAGAAAAACCATTGTCAAATACACTCTGAAACTCAAGGTCCGCTACAACCCGTCAAAATAAAAGTTTGATTTAACTTGAAATTATGACAAATATATTAGCATTGTTCAATGTACTTCTTATAATAATTAATTTATTTAAACATTATTTTTAAGGAATATCACGTTTGTCCATGTTTTAACTTAGTATAGCCTACCTCTATTGTGCAGAACTTTGCCAAAAATAAAAGTTGTTAAATTTTCATTTGATAACATTTTAAAACATTAATTAAAATGTTAAAGTGTGATATAGATATACATAAGGTGTATAGCTTTATTTTTTTATTGTTTTTTAAAAATAATGAAAAAATGTAAGTAAATTTAATTTACTTTCATTAAAATGGTTTCAAGTTTGTTGTAATAAAGGATTTGTTCACTCAAATAACTTGTTTTTGTTCTTTTAAGAGTCATTGTTACTGATAAGAATTATTGTTTAATATATACCGTGAAACCATGATATTTTCTGAGACGATTATCATACCGTGAAAATCTCATACCGTTACAACCCTAGCGCAAACACAAAACAAAAATATGTAAATGTACCGAAGGTAGCGACTAGCGAGGCTGCAATTCTTCCGGAACTGATGGGGGCAGGCAGAGCATACGCCTGGAAGTGTTTCAGTCGGTCCTCAAAGGGTTAAGAAGAAGAAGAAAAAACGCCTAAAAGCACACAGAAGAACTAAAAGTGGAAGACGGCGACGATATATGAATATGATTGTGTGAGATTTAAGCACAAGCTCTGCGCATGATCAGCGCACACAAAGTTACTGACTGTTTGACAGCTTACAGCTGGTTCATTCGTTGTGTATCCGTCCGCAGATTATCCATATCAACATTATTGGCTAATATTACTGGTTTAAATAATTGTTGTTTATGTTAATGGTTAAAAAAAATATTTTCGGCCTGCCAGTATGTCAGTGAATTCAAACTAATGCTTGCATTAAGTATAGGGGTGTGTGTGTGTGTGTGTGTTATTTGAAGGCCAAGTGCCACTAATGTTGTGTTTTTATAATTTTAAATAAAAGAGTTAATGTTTAAGTATTATTGTATATCGATTTGTTACCGAGCAGTGTTGGGGAAAGTTACTTTTAAAAGTAATGCATTACAATATCGCGTAACTCCATAAAAAAGTAACTAATTACATTACTTAGTTACTTTTTATGGAAAGTAATGCGTTACGTTACTTTTGCGTTACTTTTTAAATCTGGACAGGGCTTGCTTGTTAAAATAAAAAAGTTATATTTTTGGCAACCAAAAATGAATACGCCTCAGGCTGAAGGGAAAGTAAATTTACGTCCGTACAGTAGAATGCAGAAGAAGAAATTTCAACACACTTCAGCAATAAAAAAAACACACAAATGTTTGTCTAGAGTAATTTTTGATTATTAGTACGGTTGAACTGGATCATCGAAGGTCAAAGCCATTGGTTAATAGAATGGGATTAAATACATAAAGGACATTTGTGTTTAACATTTAATTATTGCAGGTTTGCGTCATATTCTGAGTTGCATACTTTTTATTCATTTTGAGGAATACTGAATCTGTGTTTTTGTGAGTGAGATGAATTAATGCATATTCATATTTATTTTAGAACTACAGTAACATCTTCTGATTTCTCTCAACATGGGGACAGGAGAGCTGTCAATCAATAAATTGGAGAAAAAAAAGTAACTTGTGTTACTTATTTGAAAACGTAACCCCCAACACTGTTACAGAGTACCGTGTACTTTTAGTGGTATCGGTACCGACTACTAGATTTTTGGTATCGTGACATCCCCAAACTATAAAGATAACGATATTTGCGTCCACACCAGCGAACGATATCGTCTGTTTATTCTAAGCTGCCGCTTTAAATTCTCGAGCTCGTTACAGCAGGATGGATTCTGATTGGGTGTCAAAGTTTGTATCATTCATCAGCTGTAAAAAACATTCTGAAAGTGATTCCAACGATATCGCTTCTCTGTGCCTTTATCGTTATAGCTGTGGTGTGGACTCTGCTATTCTTTAAAGGGATAGTTCACCTAAAAATGAAAATTCTGTCATTAATTACTCACCCTCATGTCGTTCCAAACCCGTAAGACCTTCCTTCATCTTCGGAACACAAATTAAGATATTTTTAATGAAATCCGAGAGCTCTCTAAACTCCATAGACAGCAACGCAACTGCAATGTTCCCAGTAGGGCTGAATGATTTTGGAAAATAATCGAATTGCGATTTTTTTTACCAATATTGCGATTGCGATTTAATATGCAATTATTTTTTAAAGCTCTTTATGTTCTGACCCAGCACTACATCAGGGGTTCAACCGTAATTTTACGAAGCTACAAGAATACATTTTGTGTGCAAAAAAAACAAAAATAACGACTTTATTCAACAATTCTTAGTGGCGTGCCGCTGCAGACGGGATGAGGAGGAGAAGAATAGCTGAATAAAGTCGTTATTTTTGTTTTCTCAAAGTATTTCTCATAGCTTCGTAAAATTACAGTTGAACCCCTGATGTCACAGACTAGTTTACCGATGTCCTTGCTACGTTTCTGGGCCTGGGAACATTTTAGTTGTTTAGTTGAGTCGGATTTCATCAAAATATCTTCATTTGTGTTCCGAAGATGAACGAAGGTCTTACGGGTTTGGAACGACATGAGCGTGAGTAATTCATGACAGACATTTTTGGGTGAACTAGCATAGTTATCATCCTTGGTGTGAACGGGCCTTTACAAATACAATAAAAACCAGCAAACAAACAAACACAAGTTATATTGCACAAGATTTTTTACACTGACATATAATAAAAATTCTAAAACTTTTTCTGGCAAAATTGCGTACCTTGAATAGTTTGCAGCTGCAAAGGAAACGATGGCCTGATTTGAAACGGAATCGTCTGGTTTTGCGTGACGAAGCCGGTTGATCCCGCCCTTTGGGGCGTGGCCAGAATGGCTTGGTTGTTTCCGGCGGGAATGAGCTGGATCTGTTCGGGCTGGACGCTTAAGGCCGTGGGGTTACTAGGGCTAATTTGGATCTGCTGTCCGTCGGCGGTCTGAAGGTGCGGGATGACTTGATACTGAATCCCGCCCGACGAGTTCGGCAGATTCTGGACCTGGATGATTTGAAACTGCTGCTGCTGCTGTGAGCCAGGTGCGTTATTCGAACCCGCCGCCTTGACCTTTCGCCTCGCCGCGCTCTCGTTCTGCTGAACGCTGTCCTTGGTTGCAGCGGCAGGGGAAGTGGCTATGATCTGCCAGCCGTTTCCCGTCAGCTGCGCGGGAACCAGCTCGAGCTGCTGCGTTGGGTTCTGGAGCTGAAACAGACCCTGGTTGGGGTCGATTATAATCTGCTGTTGCGTGGCCGTCTGACCCTCGCCGCCAACACCGCCTATTTTACTGCACGTCGCCGCCAGCAATGCGAGAGGAGACGGCTGTGCATCCTACACACACACACACACACACACACACACACACACACA